GTGGCTCCATGGGAGATAGACTGGTGACCTGCTCCCGTAGAGATTTCAGCTTAGGAACCCCCACGTGGCAGTTCTGTTGTGTCCCATGAGGCCACCATGAGGCAGAACAGGCTCAGGGACACCCAACACCGCCAGCAGGAGAAAAGGAAAAGCACATCGATGGGATTAACTTGAATGGATCTTAAATATTGAAATACTCTTGATGTAACTAAAGACTAGCATGATTGTACCATGTGGCTGAGATGAAAGGTTAGTGAGCTAGCCGCATGCTAGTTCTGGTTCAAGTGAGGTCTAAATGCCGTGTGGCCTTCATTTGTGTGTACCACACGTAGAGCACATCTCGATTTGGGCTGGCCATGTTTTTTGTTTTTAATCATTTTATTGGGGGCTCTTAACAGCTCTTATCAAAATCCATGCATAGATCCATTGTGTCGAGCACATTTGCACATATGTTGCCATCATCATTTTCAAAACATTTTCTTTCTACTTGAGCCCTTGGCAGCCACGTGTTAAGGGTCAGTAGCCAAGCATGGCCAGTAGCTACCATATCGGACAGCACAACTCCAATCAATGTCGCATGCTCTCACTCACCTTGAGACCTTCGCACCTGCTGTTCCCTCTTCCCAGACTACTCTTTTTCCTTCTCTTCCCCCTTCTGATGAACTGCTCTTCATCAATCACATCGTGGGTCCCAGACTCACTTCCTCTAGGAATCCCTCCCTGAGCCCTCTCGATGCCTCTACTCAGAGTTCTCAAAGAATCTTGGACTTCTCCCATGGTACAATAGTATCTTGTGCCTTTTAATTGTGTCTCCCCTGTGGAACAGAGTTGTGTGGGGACAGAAACCCTGGCTGCCTGGCCAACCTGTGTCACTAGCAAATGTGTACTCAGTCGCCTGCCTGGTCTCTTCTGTCCCGCAGATATTGTGGAAGGCAACCTCAAGTCTATCATGAGGCTGGTGCTTGCCCTGGCAGCTCACTTCAAACCTGGCTCTAGCAGGATGGTGAGCCAAGGTCGGGACTCCAGCACTCCTCTGCAGAGTCACCAACCACACTGTGCCACAGCTGTGGCCCAGGGGGCAGCAGCTGCCCTGGCCGACGTGTGTCATGACATGTCCCGGTCAGGACGAGACGTCTTCCGGTACAGGCAAAGGTAAGGGCAGAAAGCTGGAGGTGGGGAACTGGTCCCTCTCTCTGATATTGCTGCTTTTAACCCATAGCGTGCATGCCCTAGGTGCGCCAGTAGCCTAGCACTGCTGCAAGGCTCGTGGCACAGAGGTGGAGAAGGCACTCCCAACGAGAAAGCCTTTCATTCTAGAGACGTTGCTCTTTGCTGTGAGCAGAAAGGAAGGGAATCGGGCAATTTTCTACTCAGGAATCCAGGATTTTAAATCCATGCCTTCAGCACAGTGTGCTTTCTTACCTGGGAGACAGATGCGCTGGGGCAGAGTTCTAATCTATTTGGGGAGCTCTCCCCTGAAGAGAATGTGCCCTGAAGGCTAGGCCCCCCTGAGAGCCCATGCCAGAAAGGGGGTTGTTTATCCGCTGAGCAAGAGCAGGACCTGGAGGCTTGGCAGATTCATGAAATTACCTGTTTTTGTGCCAATCTCCCCTACTGGTTTTTAAAATATGTAATTGACTGCATTCACGGTTGCTGTGGCTGTAAGGGGCACTAGTGGGGCAGTGGCTAAAAGGCTGAGCTATGAACCAAAAGGTTAGCCCTCCAACCCACCAGACACTTTGTGGAAGCAAAATGTAGCAAAACGCACCCATAAAGAGGTACCCATATGTGGATTATGCGCCAATAAAGTTTTTTTTTTTAAAGATGTACCCCAAATCCTCACTACCATTGGGTTGACTTTAACTCATTATGACCTTATCAAGCCCCGCACCCCAAACAGATGCTCTTCATTGAGTCAATTCCTACTCCTGGCAATCCTGCATGGGGTTTCCAAAATGGTAAATCTCTATGGGAGTAGACAGCCTCATCTTTCTCCCACAGAGTGGCTGGTGGGTTTGAACCACTGACTTTGTGGTTAGCAGCCTAACCCACAGTGTCAATAAGGCTCCTAGTGACCCTAGAGGACAGAGTAAAACTGCTTCCTAGAGTGTCTCAAAACTGTAAATCTTCATTGAAGCAAACTACCTCATCTTCCCCCTGTGGAATGTCTGGTGGCCTCAAACTGCCACCCTTTTGGCTGGCAGCCCAAGGTGTACCTCACAGTACCACCATGGCCCCTTAAAGATACACACAGCCTTGAAAACCCAGTGGGGCAGCCATACTCTGTCCTTTTGGTTCACCATGAGCCAGAACTGACCCTTGGCAAACAGGTTTTTGGGGTGTTCCTACATGAACAATTCAGCGATATTCCCTCCTAGTCTTTAAGTGTCTCTCAGGGACGTGTCGTGCAGAGGGGCATTCTGTCGGAACTGGCTGAACTTCCCTGTGCGACTGACACCCTCTCCTTTCCTGGTGCCCTCTGACTTAAGGAACAGCAGCGTGGACGAGGAGATTGAGAATCCGTACTGGAGCGTGCGAGCCCTGGTGCAGCAGTACGAAGGGCAGCAAAGGTCCCCATCAGAGTCCAGCTGCTCCAGGTAATGGTGGCCTCCTCCCACTGTTTACTACGGAATGCCAAAAGTCAGATGCTTTACTGGCTGAAAGCTGAATGCCAGCAACTTTTGAAGTAACAGCAGAAAACAAGCAATGAGACACTCCAGCCCTTTCTCTTTCCTTCAGTGTTTGTTTGGCTTTAGATGGGCAGCCCTTATCACTGTGTGTGGTTTGTGCAGGCAGGAAGATGGGCTAGGATCTGGCAAATTCCTCATATCTGGAAGCTCTGCGCCGAGCCACAGTGCAAGTGCTCAGCTGTGTCCACATGGAGGCATGACTGGGAGCTGTGAGGGACCAGCCCAGTGGTTCCGCCGTTTCCATAGGAGCTGCCAGTGTTTGTAGCGTCCAGTTCTGTTACATTGTCTTTAAGCCTAAGAGTAAGCCTTGAATTTTCTCTTGAGAAGGCTGTAGAAATCTGACAGCAAGAGGGAAAAATTAAAGAAAGTTGTTTGAGAGTATGAGAATGCTTCCAACTTGCATTTGAAGGGCTGAGCTATGTGGCTGATTCGTATGCATTTGAGGGAGCCCTGGTGGGGGGGGGGTGGCTAGTTACCTGTTGGGCTGTTAACCATGAGTTTGAAGCCACCAGATTCTCTGCAGGAGAAAGAAGAGGTTTTCTACTCCTGTAAACAGTTACGGCCTGGGAACCCCACAGGGGCAGTTCTACCCCGCCCTTTCGGGTCATTGTGAGCCGGAGTTGACTTGATGGCAGTAAGTTTGGTTTTGGTTTAAGTATGCATTTCAGTAGGTTAATGGCATTTGTGAATGTAGCAGAGAGGCAGCCTCGACCTCTCAGAGTCAAATGCATGGACCCAAGCAGGACATGGTGTTTTAATTAATTAAAATTAATTAATCAATGACAAGCATAGAGCAGAAAACTATTACTTTCCTGGCTCAAGTAAATCATGCTCCTATAAACTCAGTCCCAGATCATGTTAGCTTAGTGTGAAACTACATTTTGTTGCTGATTCATTCATTCACTTCTAACTTAGGCCTTTACACCCTCTCTTTGCTTATCAATACGGTTAGGTTCCAAAGACTTCTGGGAAATTGGTATTATATGAAACTAGAGGATGACTACACCATTCCATGACTGCCAGACCACTGAGAACAGAGTCCAGCCTAGTTGACATGTCCCGTGTCCCCCCCCCTCCCCGCCAAATGGGAAAAAGCTCCACTGGGCGGAGCATTTTGTAGCATGCATTTTTCCCACTAGCCAGCATCGAGCAACTCACTCTGAGTTCGTGCATTTAGTGACATCGCCTGGGAAGGTTCTCCCTGGTCACAATGAATTTTTTCATAAAAGCAGTTTCGCTCAAACCTCATTTTTTGTGATGGCTGATTTAAGAGAACAGCATGCGGTGTGAAATTTTGTTTCCTGCTCTGGAAAAATGCCACAGAAACTGTTGTGATGTTGAACACAGCTTACAAGGACAGCACTATGGGAAACACTCAGGTGGATGAGTGGTTTTCTCGTTTCAAAAAAGGTGAAATGTTGATTAATGACAAAACTCATTCTGGACGTCTGTCAACTTCCCAAACAGATGAAAGGTCAACTCGTAGTGCATTTGGAGTTTGTTCCACCAGGCCAGACCGCTCATCATGCTTTCTGTTTAGAGGTTCTGAAAAGATAGCGTAACAGTGTGTGACAAAAAAGGCCTGATTTGTGGCAGACAGGGCCTGGTTTTGCCACCACTACAATGCATCTGCTCACGCAGCCATCTCAGTGCACTAGTTTTTGGCAAAAAAACCAGCATGCCTCTTGCTCCACAAGCCTTACTCACCTGACCTCGCTCTGTGTGATTTCTTTTTGTTTCTGTGAATGAAGAGGGACATGAAAGGACAGCGATTTGACACATAGAGGAGGTGAAGAAAAACACTAGGGAGGGGCTGTCAGCCATCCAAACAGAGGAGTTTGAAACATGTTTTCAAGAATGGAATCACAGACTTGAAAAGTATATTGTCATGGAGAGTACATTGAAGGTGATAAGGTTGTTTTATTTAAAAAATTTAAATACATAGCTTTGGGGAAAAAATTCCATTTTCCACCACTATCACAGCCAATGTTCCTCTCACCGTATACTCTGGCAGTGGTTACCCTGGCCAGGTGTTTGTTGTTAATGTGCAAAGAGATTGGAGAGATTTTTCACTATTGCTGTAAATGGGAAATCTCCTAACGAGATACTTGATAAGTGATGAGAAAGCATGTAATCTTTTGTTGCCAGTTCCAATTCAGATTGGCCAGTTCCAAAGCCCAGATAATTAATTGTCATATGTGTGTTTTACATATCTTTGTTTTTTTCCTCTTGTTCCTTTTCCTCACACACACAAAAACAAAAAAACTGCCATCTATTTTGATGGACCATTTCCTGAGTTTATTGTGGTCACATGACGCTCTTTCCAGCATTTTAACATACTGTAACCTTGATCAACTTTCTTTTTAACCTTTAACGTGTGAGTTTTTAAAATAATTCATTTACTGTGGTAAAATGCACAGAACGTAAAATTAAGCATTAACTATCTGCTCCTTCCTGCAGATTTCGGGTAGGGAGCTTTGAGAGAGTGTCGATTAGGTACCCATTGGAAATGGAAATGGCCCTGAGGTAGACTGACGGTGACAGCCTTCCAGAAGAGGGGTCCGAGGAGAATAGTTCGCATGGCCCTTTGTTTTCGGCTGCTTCCTTTTTCTTTCTAATACTGACCCCTCCCTCCCTGGATCCTTTTCCGCAGTAAGCTCCCAGGGAAGGAGAAGGCTTCCCTAGGCTCCCAGGCATATTCTGCCTTCCCAGTGCAGGGAGAGCCCTACCCCATGCTCTGTGGCCCCCGAAGAGGCAGGGTTTCAGCTCCTTCCCTGCCACCTGGCGAGCCACCCTGCCAGGCCCTGCCCACCTGTTGCTTCGTCCAAGCAAAATGATTTTCCATTGCAGAAAAAAAGAAAACATGAAACGCAGTCAGTTGGGGAAGGTGGGAGGAGATAGGCGTTCCTTCGTGGGTTTCCGTAGAAGGAACCCCCCACCCCCATCCCCAGTCTCCACCCTCCAGCCCCCTCCCTCCTTGGAAACCTGGGCTGAAGGCCAAGGCGTCCGTTGATTGGCATTTTGCGTTTCGTGATTGGGGTGAAGGTCGCCGGACCTCCGTGTGTGCTCGGCGGGAGCGGGTTAGATTAGGAAAAGGAAGGTTTTCAGCCGCAGATTCTCGGGAGTAGGATCAGCAGACTCCGGTCCGTGTGCGCCTCATCTGCCCCCCACCCCCTTGTCCCGCCCCCTGGCCCTTGCCTCCTTACCTGGCCCCAGCTCCCTGGGGTCGCGCGGGCAGGGCAGGCGCACGCAGGCGCTGAGCGGAGCGCCAGGCAGGGTGGACCCGACCCCAGTGCTGCCTGGCAGCGAGCGACAGCCCGGAAGGGAGGGGAGGGGTCAGTAAGGGAAGGGAGGGGCGCCTTTAGAGCTGGGGTTGCCCTCGCGTCGTCGGCTGTCTGTTCCAAGACTCCACAGCAGAGCTGGGGCGCGGGGGCCGTTTCTTCCGGTTGGAGATGGGTTGAGATGCCTCCGCTTGCCGCACCGGAGCAAGATGCTCGGAGCCGCACAGCTGAACGGAATCGAGATGCAGCTGGCTGGGGCCCGCAGCCTGCGAGAGGCGGCGGCTCGCGCTGAGGCCGGCCTGTTGCGGTCCCTGAATTGCTGGGACAGCACGCTTCAGACCCCGGAGCATCCTCCCATCTCCCGGAACAGCGCCTAGCCCTCCGTCCTGCCGACTGTCTCCAGCGATTGGAGCCCGCACCTCTTGTTATTAGCTTGCCTGTGGAGTCGTTCTTCGGGCCCCAGGGAGGGCAGACATGCCCGAATTGGGGAGCAATGTGACTCCAAGCTTGCCACCTCACCCGGGGAAGCAGATTCGCTGAAGCCAGAGCCAAGAGGGGGACCATGGGAGGGACGCAAGTGAAATGGTGAGCTGGGGCCACTTGGGCTTCGGAGGTGGGCGCTTGGGTGGAAGGAAGCATGCGGGATGCTGTTGGCCCAAAACAGACCGGGAAGGATACAGGCAAGACAGCGGAGTGCACAGGTCACGCTCCCTTAGGTGAGAAGACTGGAACTAACGAGGGATGGAGGAGTGGACCTTTCACCTCTCTGTCTCTGCTAAGGGAGGGGAATTCCCAGGGGACAGGACACTTTTCTTTAGTGCCCATTACCCATTTTTAAAAAAGAAACGAAACCCTAATCTATTTTGGAAGGATCTTTGCTGGGGTGGGGGTGGGGGGTTGCTTGTCTGAGAGATAAGAGTGGAATGATGGTAAACCCGTGGGAGTAAAGAAATCTACCAGCCTGACCCGATTTGAAACCAGTCATTCCCTGATCGCAGTGAGGATTACCATGGCCATTTAGGGGATTACTTGTTTATTAAAAAGGGCCTTTAAGCTAGTCAGGGGGAAGTCTAAGCCTTATAATTAATTAGCATTAAAATACTTTGTGATGACTCGGGGCGCTGGATATACAGCTCTTTGCTCCCAGTGGAGCTCCTGCTAGGGAGCAGGACAGGTGCCTGCTCTCACAGCATGCTGCAGGATTCTGGTTCCTCCGGGATGTGTGATCTCTCTTTGGACATGGCCTTCTAGTCTGCTGCTCTTACTCTGGCCTTTTAGACTGTCAGCCACAATTCAGGAAAGAGAAATGTTGTTTTTCTTTGACTGCTCTGCCACTCCCCCGATGGGGTTGGATACCCAGACCTCCGCCTCCTCTGCCCTTATATGGGAGACAGTTTGCTTTGGAGGGAGAAAGTGGAGCTGGGCATGCGTTGTGGAAATAGAGCTCTGCTTTTAGGTAAACAGTTTTCCAGCATCCTAGGCTCACACTAGCACTACCACCCCGCATTCGTCTCTCACATACCCACAGTGGTCCAGCCCAAATCAGGCAGTGGGGCATGCAATCCATCGCACCTCGTCAGCTGAGAAAGCACTGTTTTATTCTTCCTCGAAGTGGCACTGGCTGCAGGCTCTTTCTGCATTTGAGTCCCATTTCTGTAAGCAGGCAAATGTCTGTGGTCATAAGTCCATTCTCTTTATAAATAACACTGTGCCCTTAGATAACAATGAGCTCAACCCGAAGATCTATTGTGAGGGTGGCACAGAACTGGGCAGTGTTTCATTCCATTGTACGGAGGGGCACTATAAGCCGGAGCCAACCCAACGGTGTTAACAACCCTTAGACTTAAGGTAGATCTGACCCAACCCATGGTATTTCCATTGCCTCATAGGTATGTAGTAAATAAGTAAGGAAAACCGGAAAAGAATTGATGTTTCGGAATTATGGTATTAAAAAATAATATGAAATTAGACCATGGACTGTCAGAAGAATGAGCAGAGTTGCCTCTGAAGAAGTACAGCCACAAAATCCCTCCGGAGCGAGAACAGTGAAACGTTGTCTTACATACTTGGGACATGTTCTCAGGAGGGACTAGTCGCCGGAGAAGGACAAAGTTGGTAAAGTTATGGGTCAGCATAAAAAAGGGGCAGACCCTCCACAAGATGGATTGGCAGCAGTGGGCGCCAACAGAGGGGCAATTGTGAAGATGGTGCAAGACTGGGGCGTTTGTGTTCCGGTGTGAAAAGGGTCACTCTGAATAACTCCGGGAGGCCTAAGAGCATCCTTAACCCAGGGTTTCTCCAGAAGAGACTCTGGAGTTAGAAGGCACGTGAAAGAAGGCTAAGAGCACTCTATGTAGCAACCCCCCATTTCTGAAGAACATGTCTTCCCACTCCCCACCCTTCTCTTGCCGGTCCTGGGAGTAGATTTATAAAGATTGTTAAGACTCTCTTTCATTGGAAGAAGAAAAACGTTGTTTGCAAGATTTTGTAGTTCTCCTGAGGATGAGAACATGTTCCTGGTTGAGGTCACTTCCCACCAAAGCCCTTCAGCAACCGGGAGAATGAAACACTTGTCCTTGGTCTGTTAGAGAGGTTTCAGAATCTCTGACGACCTCCTCCTGATCTCTAGTTTATACTTCTTTCTAGGAAGACAGAGATGTTAACTCCTGATCTTGGTGGCAGTGGGATTAGCCTGGGAGACCTCAGGGGCACATTAAGTGGGTCAGTGAGTTTTAGATACTTGCCTTGTTGTCTAGGTGATGGATTTAGAGAGAATTCCTGAGAGGGGGCTGGGCCTGGGAACCCCATAGCCCCTGAGATTGTTTCAGTGCTCATGTTCTCAAGGTGCAGCGCAAAGAAACAGGGCTCTTCAGACAGACCTCTTTTCCCCATCAGACCATCCTGATGGGTAGACCTGCTGCCCTTCTGGAGTTTTAGAATGTCGTGTCCTTGGGAATGGAGCAGTTACCTTGAGATTTGTTGCAATGTTTTCTGGTGACTACTGGGACAAACTGTGGCTGAGGTAGCTCTGATGGGAGTAAGCCAAGTAATGACACTCACTTTTCTTCACTAGGCATCAACATCAACTTGATGGCAATGGTATTCTTTACTCTGCCATCTTTATCTCCTAGGAGGGCTTCTTCCCCCCCCCCCCCCCCCCCACTTTGGCCATAGAATCCCTCTCCTCATCCAGCCTGGCATGAAACATACTCCAGTGATTTCTCCCCGTTGAACACCTTTCTTCCTGTCTCCCATTTGGGATCAGCCCAGAGCTGGTCTACCATGTCACTCTGCTGGCATTTCTTGTCTCTGTGGCAAAATATCTCTTGCAAACATCGGAAAACAAACTACAGAATTTCCATCCAGCTCTCAATGGAAGACCCACACTTCCATTGGTCACTCAACAGAGGCCAGGGATGGTGGTACTAATTAAACATACCACATCTTAGGTCCTCTTAAGAATGGATAACCTATCCTTCTGAGGAATGAATTTTGTCCTCAATTAATTAGACTTAAAGGTAGCCTTGGTGTGGTGAAGACTTCTCGGAACTGGTTAGTCTATACATTCAACATTCGTTTCATTCATTCAACAAGTGTTTGTTCTTACCGTGGCCAGGCACCGTCTTATGCGGGAGTAAGAATGAATAAGAATGTGTATCTGGGATAAATTAGGAAAGTTGGTTCTTTCTAAAGAACTGTTCATAACACTTGTCTGTTTCTGTATCCTTTGATCATAGCCTGACTTCACCCAGTCCAATCCACAGTGCAAAGAGTGAATCCATTATAACCCAGGCGGAGGAGAAGGCAGATTTTGTGATTATTGCTTCTGATGGAATAGAGAACAGAACAGGTATGGTACCTATCAGCCTGGTCCAAGTTGGCTTGGGGAGTAGTTCCCAGATTGAAGAGTTTGGGGGTCCTGCCTGTCCATCTATAAAGTCCCTGGCCCTCTCCCTCTTTCTCTATGGTGTGTAAGTACACTGGTGGCTCTAGAGCAGTGGTTCTCAACCTTCCTAATGCCATGACCCTTTAATACAGTTCCTCATGTTGTGGTGACCCCCAACCATAAAATTATTTTTGTTGTTACTTCATAACTGTCATTTTGCTACTGTGATGAATCGGGTGACCCCTGTGAAAGGATCGTGCAACCTCCAAAGGGGTCGTGACCCACAAGTTGAGAACTGCTGCTTTAGAGAGTTCTAATGCCATAGGGGGCATTTAATGTTAACCTCTTGCAGAATGTCACTTGATGCCTTAGCTGTCAAAAGCCTCTGCAGCAGCCTAGACGGGCTCTTCAGCAGCTGGCTACCTATGAATTAGGAAATGGTTTGGGGATTGTCAGGAGCCTTATATAAGTGACCAATGTTTATTCCTATTTTATACAGATAATTTGGGGGCAGGGAGACCGTATGAACAGTAGAGAGCAGGTCTATATGAAGGATAAGAACAGACCACACTGAGTCCCTTCTGCGTAGACTTCTTCATGAGGGTGTTGTTGCTGGGTGCCACTGAGTGGATTTCAACTCACAGCAACCTCAGATGTTCTAGGAGGAAATCTTTCCGTAAGCAGATTCCCAGGTCTTTCTCTCCGGGAGCCCTTGGGTGGGTTCCGACTGCTGACCTTTCAGTTAGCAGCCAGCACTCACCTGTTGTGGCCCCAGGTCTCCTTTGACCTCTTACTCGGCCTCTGTTGCTTTCCTTTTTCTCATGTCAACATGAGGGTGGCCTGGAAGAAGCCTAGCTGGTGGGTTAGATAAAGAGCTATTCATCCATAATGATGCTAAAAACCCAGAGAGGGAAACCTGGAATTAAGCCCTTCCTTACTCTGCATCCCCCCTTAGCACCAAAGAGACAGTCACCTTCTGAGCCTTGTACCACAGACCGCCCCCATACAGGTCACCTAATGCCTTCTTCACAGCAGCCCGGGAAAGTTATCCTTGTTTTATGAATGAACAAACTTACTCAGAGAAGTTATTCTGCTGTTGGCCATTACACAATTGAAATGGCGATGCATACAGTTAGCCAAAATCCGACTCAGAGCGACCCTAAATAAAGGGTTTCCCGAGACTGTAAATCTTTATGAAAGCCGACAAACCCATCTTTCGCCTGAGAAGCATCTGATAAGTTTGAACTGCTAACCTTGCGGCTCCTCACCAGCACCGTCGAGGCGCATTTGCATGCGGGCAGTAAAGGTAGCAAAAGAAAACCAGAGTGAGATATGAAACAGTTTGTGCAAGTATGCTTTTCATGGTTTGTTTCCTGTGTGACTCACACAATGTTATCTGTGAAAGACCTTAGAACTGAATAGTCAAAAGGAGTTTTGAAGTCTCCCCTCTAAAGCACCGGAGCAACCAAGAGGAGTTTGGTTTTTCAATGCATCTGACTTGTCAGCTCCTCTCTTTGTACTTGCTGGAAGGAATCAGGCTCTAGAGAATGAAGAGTGAAATCTATGTGTCCCATACCGAGACTCCCAGGAGGGAGTCTTACTGCTTCCTAAGGGTTCTAAAGAGGATAGCTTTCCCTAACAGCGTAGCAGATGCTCCCTGGAGCCTGGAGTCAACAGCCAATGCTTTATGCCCCACAACTCCACCTGCTGGAGAGCCCAGCTTGCGTCACGCGGGCAGGGTTGGAAGGCAGCTGACCTGAACCTGTAGACGCTTTCTGCCGGAAATTCACTTTTCACCAAGATGAGCTCTCTCCCATCCTGTCGTTCTGTAGAGGAGATCGATTCTCCAGTGTCTCGGGGAGACTGGCGACCTGAGAGCCCAGGACCCTATCTGGAGAGCTCATGGGAAGAACAACTGTTGGAACAACAAGAGCATTTGGAAAAAGAAATGGAGGAAGCAAAGAAAATGATATCAGGACTACAGGTAGCTCTTTTCCTTGTAGCTTTTTTGCCCGGGTGCACTGATTATTCTATTTAAACCACTAGCACCCAGGAAAAGAAACTGATTTCAAGTTTTGCATGAGTCAGATTTGAACAGGGAATGTAGATGAAGGAGTTGGTACATGGGGTGACAGTAGAGTCTACGTGAATAGTCCAAAAGGTACTTTATGGAATCATGTTTATAGCATCTTAAAACAACAACAACTCTAACCACCACAAACCTATTGCCCTCCAGTCAATTCTGACTCATAACATGCCTATTGGACAGAGTAGAACTGCCCCATAGGGCTTCCCAGCTGTAAATCTTTATGGAATCAGGTAATTGCATGTTTCATCTGCTGTTTACAGCCCAGCTGTTAAGATTTCAGCAAGTCCTGGAACCATTTCTAGCCCTTACCAGCCTCCTGCCTGGCTCGCTGCCTCATAGGTGGGTTTCTCCCTGATACGCTGCCACAGCCTGCAAATGCAGCTTTCACCAAAGAAGGGCAGAGGGAAAGTCAGGGCTTCTCTCCTCCACCTTCTCCAGCAGGAAGGGAGTAAGACTAGTAACTCCGCCAGGTTTCCGTTTGAGGCTGGCTGAGGGACTTAGCTCACTCCTAATGTATTTGCAAGTGGATGCCAAGATAAACCGATCAGGTAGAAGAGGTTTTCCTTGATCAACAAAGCCCTTGAGGGTGGGAGGGAGGGGTGCCCTCCCCTCCCCCTGCAGCTCCTGGTTGGTCAGTCTCCTCTAGAGATGAGCTGACCCACTTGACCTAGTTCCCCCTCTGTGATTTCCCCACCAAGTCCTCTCTTGTCTGTTTGTCCCTGTTTGTGGGGAGGTCTTGTAGTGTGCTGGTGACCCCGAAATTGCCTCAGAATAATCATTTTGCCTTTGTGTTGGGAGGGGTACTGCTTCTGAATTGTTCAATATTTATGGACACGTAAACAAAGCCCACATTATGTCTGTGGCTCTGGCAGCCGGCAGGCGGTGGAGGGCGAGCTCCCAGCCAGCCATGGGCTAGGGACACAAAGGGTTCCTAAAGAAAAAGGGAGATTGGTGATGTGGTAGGACGATTTGCATAATATATGCCCCGGGAACTGAGCAGGGTTAGAGAAATGTTTACTGCTGAAACATTCCCTGGGAGAGTTGATTTGCCATTTGCTATGTTTTCTTTTTTTAATCGATGATCTTGTGAGGCCATCAGGATCCGTTTTCTCTGACTCCATTAAGGGGCACCTTAATGGAACGGCTTTTGAATACTGTGCTTTAATAGGATGAGGTCCTCAGAGAACTTTGGGATTATACTCAAACCAGGTTTTTCCCAGGATAATTTGCATGATATGAACCCAGATATCCATTGGTACGGCTCGCTCTCTCTCTGGTTGGTTTGCATTTCCCAGTTCTGGGAGAAAATCCGATGGCAGATTAGACAGAAACAGAAAAGAAAGGACAGACCCAAAAGTCAGCATCCTCTGCAAATATCCCCTGCAAATAGAGGCATTTTAATTCACTGTCACATGATTACAACGAGAATTCAGTCCCATTGTAGAATACAAAGGGGCTCACAGCCTCCCCTGGGCTTCTTAACTCTTTCATAGATGAGTCAGTAGTGAGCTAAGCCACAGCCAGGGTTTCTGACTGACTAGCATGCCTTCCTCAGAGCCTGGGAGTAATTTTCCACTGGCATGGAATTTCCTGCAATGCTCCGGGCAGCCCTGCAGCTTCTGCATGTGTGCACTTCTCACCACAGCCCCGTGGGATCACCAAATACATTTGGATTATGAAATGTTATTATTATTTAGTGCTTGATAGACTAACCATTCCCTGGACTGAAAAGTATTCTTCTACTAACACTTGTGATGTCATTTGTGATTTTTAACAAGTTAAAAAAAAAATTCCTGGACAAATGGGATGAAAAGACAATGGGATTTTCTCAGAAACTGACACACTGCTTCATGTTAGTTGAAATGGGATTTGAGCTCTATAATCCTTCTCTTTTGATGGAAATGTGGCAGACTAGAATCATGGCATAACATGGGGACATATTTTTACAATCTTTCACTGAGCTGATGACACCCCGCAGGAGTGGCCCTGTTAGATATCTCTCTCTCTCTCTCTCTCTCGGGAGAAATATACCTCGGCCCTTGGCTTCTCGTGAGAAAGAATTCACGCCGAAGCCTGGTTTATGATCCAAGTGAGTTTTATGAAAGTTAGAAGCAGTTTCAGGTTTTATAGTAAATGGAACACAAGCAGACAGTCTGAGGCATGGTTGGCGGGAAGTGGAACAGCCGAGTGTTGGGCTGTGTAACCCGGCTGCACTGAACTGTGTGTCAGAGCCCCTGGGAGAGAGGGCCAGAGCCGACAATACTGGTCGACCCCGTTGGCTGAATCAAATTTACCTGGCTTAGATGGGCGAATCCAGGTGTAACACCCACCTAGGTATACCACCCCTTCCTGACCAGGAGCTCAAACCTAACATTTCCCCCCTGATGATGTATGTACCCAAATTTGGGGGGAACTGGGCAACGGCACTTCTGGCTGCTTCCTGTTGGCAAAAGAGGTGGAGTGGGGTTTTGGGTACACACACTTCCTACTCTGTGGGAAGGGGTTGGCTGCTCAGGGCCCATGATAGATGAAGTTGGGGTGGTCAAGGAGCTGGTGGTCCTGGAGTTGGCACACTTGGTTCAGAGACATTGGTACCCTGAGAACTTCTGGAAGAGACAAACAGGTGGGCGGTTTAGGTGAGACAGGGTAAGGTTGTGAGATGGCAGTGCCCTTGGAGGTGGGTTAGTGTCACAGTTAGTTTAGAAGAGGGAATGTTAGGACTGACAGGCATGGGTGTTTGTTCACTGTAAGCCCAGGAACAGGGTAAAAGCATTCACTGGCTTAAAGGCTGTGATGAGTCTGAGGTAGAGTTTCTGTGGAGCCTTTATCTGTCCTGGGGTGGCAGTGAAACACCCCCAACAGTTCTCAGGGGTGCTTGTCTGTATGCTGTGCAGAATTGTGAGGGGTCTGTGTGCAACAGCTTCCACGGTTCCACCTGTGAACGGTGCCCAGGGTCCAGGGAAGAAGGTGAGGACAGGACAGGCAGCCCTGTTTCTAGGAGGGCCTCCACGACCTTGTTGGCACATTGATTACTCACCTGAGGTTCCAGACCCGCTACAGCTTTCCTGCTGCTTTGCTGACCCGGCAGGGCCAATCTTCAGTGAGCAGCTGCCCACTGGCCTGTGGGCACCCTCCCTCTTGGCTATCTGCCATAGGACAAGGTACACTCTGGTGGCCAGCTTTCTTGTTGGGGTGGCATGGCCCTCAGCCGGGCCTATTCTGGCTAGGGCAGTTCCATGCCCAGGGGCCTGGTTCCCAACACACATAGCACTTGGCACTTTGGTCACAGATCTGGGAAACCTGGGAGGCAGTTGATGGGCAATTAGCAAATGCGGCCGGCACTCGGGCATGCCTGATGTCCTTCCTTCTCTCCTCCTGAGCCTGCACCTCCTGCTCCCTATTGTAAAATGTCGAACTGCTGACCCCCCCCCCCCCACACCACCACTCCCCAATTACTGGGAGTACGATGCCTCAAGGTCAGTAATGTAGTTTCAGTGCACACCTCTAGGGTGCCTGAAACTGGGGCCTCGAGCAGGTGCCCTTATTTGAGGGAGAGGTCGGAGACACCAGTCTTTGCTGGCAAACTGGGCCCGACTGTTTTCTAGACAGCAAACCTCGGTCATTGGCTTAGGTGACCATGCAGGGCCTACAGAGGGAATTACTGGCATGAGTAATTCACCGACCCCAAAGGAGAGACCATTGCTTGGAGTGGGCTCCCAATAGCCTTCATAGGTGCCTGCTGGCAAGAGTGGACTCTCGAACCTATGAAGGGTAGGAGTGATTGGTCAGTAGTTCAGGGAACATTTTAGGAAAATTGGAATCTTGGCTGGATACATGTTTCAGCGAAACTGTATCAGGAGATGTTCCAAAAAAGTGCTGGAAGCAGTATCGCTTAAAGGCGAAAGTTAACAGTTACTCAGGGGCTTGGCTCCCAAATGCCTTGGGCCTAGGCCTGGACAACGAAAAACCAGCTGGTAGGAAGAAGGACAAACCCACACTGCCAGAATGCTAAAGCAGCTAGTTTGTGAAACCAGGAGAAAGCTAAAGGGAATGGAAGGGGCAAAAGGGAAGCGGTTGGCTCCTGGGACTAGGCAGGGCTAACTCCTAGGGCCCAAACAACCCGCTACCTAGGCACTGCCCAGCCCTCACATGTTTGGAGCAGTGGGTGGCATCTTGGCCAGGGTCACGTGCTCAGTTGTCCCGAAACAAAAATGACCACATCCACTGGGCAGTGCCATCTTGCCGGGGAGCGGAGAGTCACGTGGTTGGGAAAATGGCGGCCTCCACACCCGGTTTAGTCAACTGGCAGGGTAAGCCACTGAATCCAGAGTCCTGCAGAGACCAACAGGGTTTACGCATGCATGCATGACTATCTAGCTGGCTGAGATGTAAAGCAGACCACTGAAAATAAAAAAGGCATAGAGGTCCCATCCCATCCCAGGAATCTAGACTGGGGAGTGCATGAAAGCCCCCAGAAACACAGAAAAGCAGACTTATCACTCCTAAAAATAGGGAGCAGACATAGAAATACAGACACAAAGGGATAGGGCTTCTACAATATATTATGAGCAGGTCACAGCGACTTCTGTGGCAGGATAAATCAAAGCTGGTGTCCTTTCCAAATTTTGCGCGGTGCAGTTTTAAAGTCCAACCAAGCTGCTGTTTCCTCAGCATTGTAGCTCCGAGTCACGGCACCATATGTTAGATATCTCTCTCTCTCATGGGAGAGGTAAACCTGGGTCCTTGGCTTCACACAAGAAAGAATTCACGCTGAAGCCTGGTTTGTGATCCAGGTAAGCTTTATGAATGTTAGAAGCAGTTTCAGGTTCTACAGTAAATGGAACACAAGCCAGACAGGGTTCGCAGCATGTTAGGTGGGAGACACGGCACAGCCGAGTTGGGCTGTATAGCTGGCCGTGCTGAACTGTGTGTTGCAGCCCCTGGGAGACAGCCAGAGAAAAACCTCTGACTTCTCAGGGACCCTGTTGGGAGGCATGGACAACCCCATTGTCTGAGACAAATTCACCTGGCTTAGATGGGCCAATCCAGGTGTAACACCCACCTAAGTATACCACCCCTTATTGGCTAGGAGCTTGAACCTAACAGCCCCAAGTCTTATGGCTCCTACAGCCTATATAATTTGGTGAATCTTGTAAAAAGAATAAGATGACAAAACTCTGAATAAGACATTAGGCCTTCTCTAGGAAGAAGATTGAACAAATAAGAGGTCCAGAAGCTTGCGCTTGCTTAGTTCGCTTCATGACAAATCTCTCCCACCCTCCTCCTGCTGATACTTCATTAAAAATAAAACCTGGCATGGGGAGTTTAAATGAATGATGACATCTCTGAAAATGTTTTTCTTTAGATGCCTTAAAAAAAAAAATCCAAACCAAAGCCATCAAGTAGAGTCTGGTTGCCATGCTAATAGAAATGTAGAATAATGAAAAACAAACAAACTCAAGTCAATGCCACTCCAAATCACAAAGTTTTCTAAGCTCCGAGGCCATCACACTGCTCTAAGTTCACTCCAGTTTGAAATGTGGGCTCTCTCACTTCTGAAAGGAACATTTGTTTTCAGATTTTCTTTTGATGCCAAGGAACTTTGGAGCAGAGGATTCAAGTCTGTCCCAGAAGATGAAAGAGATCTTAGAGCTTGGGCCATGGCAAAAGGAATAGCAGCCGATCCCAAGATGAGCAATTAGGTGTATCAAAGCAGTACCAAAAGGAGCCCTAGGAGTGTAGTGGTTAACACTTGGCAGCTAACTCCAAGGTCTAAAGTTTGAACCTCTGCAGGAGAAACCGTGGCAGTCTGCTTCTGTAAAGATTGTCACCTTGGAAACTCTGTGGGGGAAGTTCTGGTCCACCCCAATAGAGTTCAGATAGAGTATGAATTGACAGGTGGCAATGGGTTTTTGGATGCAATACCAGTACCAGTTGCTATTCAGTGAAATAGAACTCATGTTGACTCCCATGTGGATCAGAGAAGACCTGTGCTCCATAGGGTTGCTGTTGTTATTTTGGGAGATAGAGTGCCAGGCCTTTCTTCCAGGGCTTCTGTAGGTGTGCTCAAACCTCCAACCTTTGAGTAGGCAGATGAGGGTATTTTTGTCTCCCAGGGATTCCATCTACACAATAAACCCACTGCCATGGACTTTATTGAGTCCTACAAAAAACCAAACTCACTGTTATTGAGTTAATTAGGACTCACAATGGAGGACGGGTGACAGAAAAGTGGGTGAAAGGACACGTCGGACAGTGTAAGACATGACAAAATAAAAATAATTTATAATAATCAAGGGTTCGTGAGGGAGTGGGGGCAGGAAGGGAGAGGAAACATTGTGGGGAGAAGTGGGGCCCCAACAAATCGTCACAGGTCCGGTAGGCACAATTGTACAGCGATAATAAGTAAAGATTATAGTAAAGTCATACAGAGCATGAGAGATAGAGGAGATATTGAATTACATAATGGAGTCAGACATAATTCATAGTAGCATACTCACCTCAGCCCTGCTTGGTGGGCCTCGTGGGGGGAGCCCGGCCTTGAGAGCAGGAGAGAGCCCCAACTTTATTGCTAACCAAGGGTTATATCTCTTTAGGACGGCATGATTACAGCTAACTACACATCACAGGAAGGGGCAGTACAATAGGCATACACATCGTAGGAAGGGGATGTATGATAGGCATAAGCGTCACAAGGAAGGGGAGGAGCTAGGGGTGTGCCCATAGGAATGGGAAGGTCTAGGGGTATACATGTGACAAGATGGGCGGACCCTAGATTCATGATGGCAGCCTAACCTTGGTCATCCTAGGGCCGGTTTGACCTCTCTGGGGTCTCCTACAAGGAAACACAACTACTATCCTTATCAGAAGGGAGTGGGCCCTACTTGTTGTGGGATAAACAGTGGTGACTGCTTGATCTAGATGGCTGATAACTCTTAGGGAGAATGACCCCTGATCTACTTCTGATGACCTCCAAGTGTGTATAGTCATTTGCAAGCAGCTAAGTTTGGCATATATTTGGGGGAGACTTGTGAGAAATTCTTCTGTGTCCCACAAAAAATGAGGAGCTGATACCAAGGGTTTAAGTAGAAAGAAAATGTTTTCAGAATGATGATGGCAACAAATGTGCTTGACACTATGGATGTATGGATTGTGATAAGGAGTTGTCCAAGCCCCCAATAAAATGATTTAAAAAAAAAAAAAAAAAGAACAGGGTAGAAGCGCCCTGAGGAGTTTCTGAGACTGTAACCATTTATGAGAGTAGAAATCCCCATCTTTCTCCTGCAGAGCAGCTGCTGGTTTCAAACTATGAAGCTTTCGGATGCCATCTCAGTGCGTAACCACTATGCCACCAGGGAGTCATATCAAGCCTATATGTGGTCTCTGTAAATCTTTACAGGAGTGGCTAGTGGGTTTGAACCATAGACCTTGTGGCTAACAGCCCAGTGCCTAGTCCACTGTACCACCAGGGTTCTTTATCTAAAGAGCGTTTTTCCCCTCCCCTCATCCACCACCAAAACTACTACTTTTGTGCTCTGTGCATCTCCCCATCTGCCCATTTGTCTAAAACAGAAACTTGGCCATCCTCTTGGAACCTTTTCCCATCCTTTTCTCTACATCCAGTAAACCACCAATCCAGTTGCCAGGGAACTGGAGGGAGCCAAGTTGTGCTTTCAATTTGAGGTGACCTCCACATTCAACTGTGAGCTGTCCAATAAAAATCAAACCCAGACTTAGTAAAGAGAGGCTGTTTTCAAAAGATGTAGAAAGGGACTATTTCGACAGAGTGAATGCTCTGACCATACGATCAGCGGATGTCTCAAGAATTAGGCCGAAGACTTCTTTTAGAGCGAGAGAAGTGAACAAGGCTTAAAAGAACCAGGTGTGGGGAAGCAGGATGAAAAGGTGGCATATCAGATAGTAGATCCAAGAATGATTTACACTGAGGCCAGCCTCTTTTCTGAGAGAGACTTTTTAGGAGGGGTTGTGTGCTAGCTCAGGCTGAGGATAGGCCAAAGTTCAGGGGCCCCCAGGAAGGAAAGAAGCTTCACCAAAGTTTGGTTAACAAGCAATTTGATTGATGTGTGGGGATATGCAGTTCAGTTAATCATTTATGGGGCAAAGAATGGGCATTGGAAGGAGGGTTTGTTCTTGTAAAGATTTACAGCATCAAAAACCCTATACAGGATCCCTAGAATTAAAATTGACTCAATGGCAGTGGATTCTTTTTTTTTTTGGTAGCGCTTACCTTCGGATGCCTGTCAGCTCAATGATTACACACTGGGCTGTTAACCGCAAGGTTGGAGTTCAAGCCTACCAGCTGATCCATAGAGGAACGCTAAGGCTTTCTCCTCCTAAAAAGATTTATAGCCTGGGAAACCCACAGGGGCAGTTTTCCTCTGTCCAGTAGGGTCACAAAGAATTAGAATTGAATTGATGGCAGTGAGTTTGTCTTTTGTTTGTTCTTTGTTTACATTAACTGTAGTGGTGCTAAGAGATAAGCATTGGATTATTAACCTTAATGTCAGGTTCAAACCCACCAACTGCTCCAAGGGAGAAAGATGAAGCTCAAGGTTCATAGTCTTGAAAACCCTACTTAGGATCACTCTGAGTTGGAATTGACTGTCAGGGAATGGCAGGGGATTTGGTTTATTTGGCGGGGGGGTGGGGTGGTGGGGGGTTCCCTTGTTATAGGTAAACAGGTGGGTTTACGTGAGTCTTCTCTAGGTCCTGTGGGGAAGGATGGCTCTTTGCAGTTAACCATTTTCTGGACGCAACGTGGAGTAGATTTCTTCACCACTGTTTCCCAAGAGCGCAAGACTCGGCTATAAAGTGAAACATGATCAGAACTACGTCTTCTGGTGGGGAATTAAGTTTCTTTCTGCCTTGTGGTTACTCAGGCCTTACTACTCAATGG